AACAGGTCTTTTTGCCCCTGTAACTGGGCTTGCATATGTATTTATCTGACTAGAATGTGTTTGAGCTTCATAAAGCATCCCTGAATTTTGTTTAACATTTATCACTGAATTTTTTGCATTAAATGGTGCTTCTCCTTGAAAAGTTGAACCACAAGTCCAGGAGTCCTGAATAGGTGGCTTTGATATCTCATAAAATTAGTTTTTTTGAGTATAAATCCTTGTTTGTGGAAAATCAGCTTTTGTGGAAGTCTTGAAGTGTGACCCAGCTTTTTCCATGACGTGATTATGTGCGAGAGATGTGTGAGTAATGGGTGCAGGTGCAACATTTTTATATCTTTCCCCGTTGGATTGGCTCACTGGAACCTGAGAGATGGAAGGTTGTGTCTCGTAACCCGGCGCACAGGCCAATGTCAAATTTGGAGCGGGAGGTCAAACTGGAGCCAAAGGGGGAGCTTGTATTTGTACTGAGGCTTGATAGGTCTGTTGTTCACCAAATGTGCCATGCGTCGTCCCTGCTCTTGAGGAACTGGACTGAAGCATTTGGCTGAAGGCTATCTCAAAGCATGTATCTGGGTCAGCATCTGTGGCCTGCTCGGAGTCATCGTCAAAAAGGATAGATGAGCATGTGTATAGAGGTGCTATCTGGTGCTCCAGTGATCGGGCAGGGTAAGAGTACGGCTGTGCAGACAGTGTGGGCGTAGAGCTGTAGTGTGAGCTGTTGGCAGGGTATAAGTATGGGGAGGCAGAGTGACAGTAGAAAGGGCTGCAGGAGGAATATTGAGAATCGAGGGTCCTTCTGAAGAGAGGGCTTTCTGGAGTCCTTGGAGGGGTGGAGTGGTCACTGTGCTCCAGGTCAGGGCTGGCCTCATTTACTGGCGACAAGTTCGACCTGAATGGGATGGGTGTCTGAGAGGAAGAACTGACTTTCTTCTTGACACTTTTCTTCAGGAGTTTCTGCAGACGGGCATTGTCTCGCCCTGGTTTTGGCAGTAGAGGAGGAGGGTATTGCTGTGGAAGCAGATTAGGCTGACTACCATAACTTAAAGCCATCAGCATTTCAACACCTGCATTAAAACAAGCCACAAATAGATGTCTGGAATTAAAAATAAAACATCGATTCAGACTGAATGCTAACTTTGGCTTTAAACCTGATCCCTCTTTTTCCATACGAACTATGAATTTCACTCCATCCTGCTTAATACATGCCTAAAAAATTTCAAACAGCTGGATTGCATAATTTGGGATTATGCATATACACTGTAAAAATGATTTTTCAAAGTTGCAAATAAATAAATAAAATAAATTATATATATATATATATAATTTGATATACTAATTTAAGGTTACTTGCAGGGTTTACGTCTCACTTGATGGGATTTATGATTGAGAGAGTTGTGTGTTTGTATGTATTTTCATTGTGGTTGATGTAAAATAACTGCCCGCTCTAAAAGTTTTAAAATATTTTTTCTCTCTCTCTTTAGCTGGCTGCTAATCACAATGATGTCTGAAGACAGGATGCTGATGTGATCATTGTCCTTCAGTTATTGCACTGTAAAAAATTTAAACCCACTAAAATTGAAAACGTGTTTTAATTGCTGCCTTACGTTTCAAGTCAAATCAAAGTGGTGCCAAGGCCACAGACACTTTTAATGACTTTACTAATGAAGAAAATCAAGTTGAAACTTTAAAAACTCATATAATCAAGTACAAGTGACAGAAATTATTGTGCAAAGTTAAATATTTGGAAACAAAGATGCTGTTTTAATGATGGAAAAAGGTATAGTGGGGTTTTTAGTTATTTTTAAAACATCTCATTTATGTGTCAACCTTAAATCTAAATGTGTCCAGTCCTGCTCCTGGAGAGCCACTGTCCTAATTTTTGACAAAAAAAAAGTATTTTTCCACTTGTATCATGTCAGGGTTTTTCAATTCAGTGATTGTCTAAGTTTTTAGTACAGATGGAGGAACAACACCAGTCAGTATTAAATACAGAATGCAGTCTGGAAGAGGGTATCAGACAATAATCTGAACTGTCATCTCAGAAAGTGCTATATATTCATTTACTGAAAGAATTTTTAGAAATATACATGTACCTTTTTTTGTCAAAATGTTGAATTAATTAATTTTATCTGTTAAAATTCTCTTTTTAATTAGCATTTCATCTTGAATGTTTTTACTCTCACCATCCTGCTCTCATTTTTGTCAGTTTTCTTCCCTCATGATTTTTCTAGAATATTTTCTCCATGTAAGTGAATGATATTCTGTTAAGTAGCATTACACAGTCAACACATGTAAACCAATCAACTAAGTGCAGTGGAATGTGTATTTGTCACAAAAAGTTCAAACTTATACATTTTTTATGAATGTTTTGTCTCTTTGTCCATACTATCGAAAATCTGTCCTCTTCAGATCCATACCTTTATAAGAATTTATGCATGTGCCTAAATTCTGCAACGAGAAAACATTTTGTAGAGAGGTAAGTTTGTCACCTCTGTTAATTTAGGTTGATAAACATGCATGACACTTGCATAATATAACAGAATTGACCATTATACAGAATATCACCAAATTAATATTCTTGCAAGTAATACAGTCGGTATCTGGGTTACTTTAGCAGTATCTAAATGTATTCTATTGCCTGTGTGACAGTAGTGTCACTGAAATGTGATCATGAGCTGCTCTACATTTTATTTTTGCTCACTGAATGACTGCACATCCTGAAACCACAATAAGACTGGAAAGATAAACACCCCAGCCTCAATTCTCACACAACAGCACATATATGAAGATGATACTAATTGATATATCCATTAGAATCCATTTAATAATTCACAGAAGAACCAATACATTATTGCATTATATCTGATTGTTAAACATGTTAACCTCGGTGACTTAATTCCCTGGCTGATTAATAAACTGCTCTAAGGTCTGTGTGAGTACACGCTTTCCTCAGACCTGTGTGAGATGTCTGAGATAAGTGCTGAAGAAGTAGAGGCCTGAGACATGCCTGATTTCGACTCTATTTCCCTGTGCCTCCACTTAACAGAGAAAAGACTCCATGCTAAAGGTTGCAATGTTAGCAATAGTGTATTCTAATACATGCAACTGCAGTATTTTTTTCATTAATTACTTCCAGGTATGATGATAGTGACTTACGGTGAGGCTAGAGGAGAGAGATGATGCTGATCTTCAAAAGAGATGAACAGACAGATATGAGATGGATATCAGTTACCGCAGTACTGCACAGGTACTGTGAAATACAAATACAAGGTGCATAAAGGCCACACCCTAGCTGTGCATATTATGTATGTCAAACAAAGATGTTAAATGACAAAAGCAGCTTTCAATGGTTTTAAAGCAGGCACTTTGACACTTTAGTCAGCACAACAAGCCGAGGCCTAATGTCTCTCACAGAGCCATGCACCTGACACCCACTAACAGATCACACTCACACCATTAAACCGTTTTTTTTACCTGTGCAAGTATTACTTTGCAATTAAGTGTGCAGCTGCAGGGTCCAACTCCCGAGTGTGCTGGGGGAAGATTAGTAGAATAGAGCAACAGGACATGGTGACCTACCCCTTTCCCATGCCAAAAATAAAACTCCTCGCCCTGAATTCAAGCTGCACTCTGACAACCAGTGAGCTGTAACCAGGCAGGGGGTTTCCACTTCACCTGCATTAGGTTATCAAAAGTCTGTTTCTCCTTAGCTATCTTTGCATGCATTTATGAATGCTACATGTCTTTTGAAGACCACATGGAATTGGTGTGATATGCTGTGGTAATAGTGTTAACTTGTCTGCCATAGTCTGTTGGTATGTTTTGTTCGGGGCATTAGTGTAGATTCAGGTATGGATGTTAGAGGCACATATTGCATGTTTGTTTGTCTTTCAAAGCAAAATGCAACCATATTATTTGCCTTTATAAAGTCACAAACGTTGAAATATTATCAGCTGAACCAGCAAAAAGCAGCAAAGTCACAGTGTATGTAAAAGCACATTTAATTCACATTTACATTTAGACTATAAAAAAGAGCTGTGCAAGAACCAGGATTTCTTAAATAATGAAAATGATTTTCAGTGCATTTTTTGGACATTGTATTCAGCGTACAAATTGAGGTGGACAACTATAAATTCTCGAATCTAAACAAGAACAACTGATATGCTCTAAAATCTTACAGTGTAGGACAAAATCTGCATAGTTTGATTTTAAAATCTACCAGTTTTATAAGGTGAATTTAGTCATTTCTTTCTTATTATATGTGTAAAGTTTTAAAATAAAAAAATAAATAGTACTAAAAATGTTTAATAAATGATATACAATAACTCAAGAAGACTCCCCATTCAGTGGCCAAATATGAGCTGTTTTATTTGACATGGAGCCGGTCGCCACATGGGTGCAGATATGTTGAGATCACATGACCAGCCAAATAATCCTGGCTTTATTTCTGTCCCCCCAATAATTGGACCCTTTCACTTGTGGAAGAAATTAATTGTGGCTGACTGTTAATAGCCCATTTCTACTATTTGAAACTTTCATTATTGCATAATGCTGCATCTTGCAAAACATTAAACCCAAACCTACACAGAATCGCTATTGTGGACAACAACATGGGCTTGTACAAATAATCATCCTTGGAGAAAGAACTCAACTAATTTACCTTTTACATGTATTGTATAATCAGTCCATAATGCCACTTTTTAGTTTGTGATGTCTACCCTGTGCCCTGCTCCCAACAGCATCCACAAAGACATTTTGTGTCCCTCTGTTAACCACAGCTAGATTTCTAAAAGATCGTCAGACCCTTAGCATGCTCTCCCTCTTAACTTGGGTTTATTTTTGCTTGCCTTGTGCTATGACAGATATAGCGATTGGGTGCCTCAGCTTTCCAAATCTGATCGTACTTTCATCCAGCACATTCTGTGGGTCTCCTTATGGTCCAGATTCCCTCCACCCAACATTAGCTCCTCAGCCAATGAGACTCCTTAGAAGATCAAATATCAGTATAAGTCAAGGACTTAAGAAGTTTCAAGGTTTGCAGAACCTTACAGCCCGTCTTCGCCATCAAGACGCTCTCTTCTTTCGGCTTTTCTGAGGTAAGTGTTTAAAGGTTTGGTATCTTCAAAAAAGTAAAGACAAGGCTGGGCTGGGTCTGAGCGGACAGTTCTTTGCTTCTGCTCACAGCTGACAGTGCTTTTCTCTTTTAAAGTTTTTTTTAGTATTTGGTATTATTTCCTCTCTCACAAGTTGTAGTAAATTATTGTTGTAAAAGATGAACGGGAGGTATGTGAATGGAATATGCTAACAGATTTCACCTCAGTTGACAGCCTTGATCATTTGAGGGTGGGTGTGGGCACTTCTGTAAATGGGATGGTTCTGTCTAAGTATGGCACTTTGTAGATAACAGACCAAGGCCAACACAATGCAATTTAGGATTTACACATTGTTGGCTTCCTCTTTGTCCTATCCTGTAGATCACCACTAATGATAGCAAAGACAATAGAGGCTTAACAAAGAACAGCTGACAACAGATAATAGCACAAACAGCGTGGTAGCATTAGAACAATGCTCTAATGATTTCTCAAACATGGACTAGATAGTTGTCATTTTGATACTAATAAAATAGATATCATAATTGTATAATATATTGGTTCTGTTTTGATCTTGCATTCACTTTTTGATTCATGTCAGAATAGAAACACATAAACAATCTGGCATTCTTTCCTTTAATGGCTCATAATAGTGTAAGCAGACAGTCATGCCCACATAAGGCAGGGCTGACAGGACCAGAGCCTCACTGTCAAAAAAAGAGAGAGAGCTGATGCTGGGAAATCTGATCATGTGTTAATCTCCAAACGCTTCTGCAGCTGTGCTGGAGATATGAGTCACAGCACACACACACACACACACATTTCTGAAGCTATATTAGTGAGGACATCTGTTAGATGCAATCGTTTTTATACTAAGATCATGATATTTATTTTATTATCAGAAAGCTTACATCATATAAACCAATTGACATTATTAGATATAAAGCACAACATTTGGCTAATTTATGTTCCAGTTTTATTTGTGAGGAAATAATCTTAAATTTGGCCCTAACAGCTAAAGCCAAACCTGTGGACACACATTTGTTTTTTTATGTTGCTCTGCTTTAAGCATTTATCATTTCTTTGATCAAATGGTCATAATATGTTACGAGTTTCCTAAAATATTTAGCATGTTGAGGTGCCTTTCACACCTGTCAAGTCAGTGATTAACCCTGTCACAGTGGTACAAAACAAAGTCTAAAGAACAATTACAAACATTCTCTCTGTCCGCTTTGTATAGGTCTAAAGCTCCGTCATCATGTCCGACACAGAGGATGTGTAAGTATTCTGACATTTGAATATAATTATTTATATATATTATTTATATATATATATAGCATAGCATATATTCATGCTCTTTTTTCAAGACAAAATAATGATAAATCTTCTTTCTCTCTCTTCAATCAGTGGGGTCGAGGGTAAGTACTAAATTTGAATTCTTCATCTTCTTCTTCTTATTATTATTATTATTGCAGTTAAAGTAAAAATACATATGCCTTAGCCAGGATTTTCAAGTCTGTCATATCCAGAGATGGGCAGTATTCTAATTAAATGTATTTAAAATATGTATTTAATTACTTTTGATCGAGTACTTTGTCATTTGTATTTTGCTGGAAAAAAATATCAAATACAATTTGTAATTAAATACTTTGAGAGACAGTATTTTGTATTTGAAATTCTTAAAATACTTAATCAAGGTCATTTTATTCTCAGATAATACAATATCTTTCTGCACCTGTTAATAGTACTGCCAACTATAGCCTATCACAGTTTTTGGTTAGATGCAAGTGAATCATATGACATCCTGTTGGATCCATAGGCGGAGTCTTGAAGGGTTAGTTCACCCACAAATGAAAATTCTGTTGTTAATTACTCAACCTTGTGTAGTTCTACTCCTGTACGACCTTCGTTCATCTTCGGAACATAAATGAAGATATTTTTGATGAAATCCGAGATACTATCAGATATTGCTCACCGAATGTAATTACAGGACAGAAGGAAAAGCTGTGCTGCTCTACAACTTTGCTTGCTAGCTGACAAGTGATGTTAGCTTGCTAGCTTAAGTTAGCTACTTGCTTCTATGGACAAAATACAATTTTTAAAGGGGCTTTATGAAAGAATTTTCAAGTATTAATCACTTTTTATTGCCAATGTGGGAACAGCATTTAACAAAACTTTAAAAATGAGGGCCTGTAGACTAATTTTTTATGTGAAGGACGCAGTTTTGCTGGGAAAATCCAAGGGAAACTATCATAACAGTATAATTTTAATGAACCTCATCTGTCGACATGATGCTGGTGAATCACATTGGCCATCGCTCGCTCGCAAGAGCATGAGCAATAAGTTGTTGGCCACAGCTCACTTAATGGCCACTGGTGTCGCTAATAACAAGGGTTTCTGAATTCTACAGAGAGCCCTTTAACAGCTTAATGTCAGCATTTTTAGGAGTTAATCTTTACTGTTGACAGTGAAATAGCTTGCTTGAGCTATCCTCTTGAGTAGGACTAGGCGGTATGACAATACAGTTTCGCAGGACTGCTTAATATTTGACACGCTGATAAAGAAACTATAAAGTGAAGTAAAGTGAAGTGAAGTAACTTGTGGCCATGTATAGTGTCCCATACTCGGAATTTGTGCTCTGCATTTAACCCATCCAAGTGCACACACAGCAGTGAGTAGTGAACAAACACGCACACACACAACATGAACACACACCCAGAGCAGTGGGCAGCCAATGCTGCGGCGCCCGGAACGCAGGGCGAGCCAGCCAGGAGCGATAAAGAAACATGAAAAAGTGTAGACATGCTTGATGGTATTCAAGTAAACACAGTCGGTTGTGTCTTAAGTGAAGGTAAGAAATTAGAAGAAATATGGATCAATATATTGGATATATTGTCTAGTGTTAGGGCTAAAGAATATGTTGTTTATAAGTTGTTTAAAGAGGGGAAAGCACTTATATTTCTCTTATGTGTGTATCTAACTCCAGTATTGCTTTTCAAATTACAAATTCAATTAAATGTTAAATACATTTATAAAAAATTAAATACATTTCTCACACCAGTATTTTGTATTTTAAATTAAATATATTTGATGAGCAATTTGTCATTTGTAATAAAATACTTTTTGATGTATTTGTGCCCATCTCTGGTCATATGTACACATTTGTCCACTTGATATCTATTTCCATTTTATTTTAAATATTATGTTTATGTATTTTTTCAGTCAGAATCAGTGTTTTCTTGGTATGTCAGCAGTTACTTTGATTATATTTAGAAACAGTGAGAGCCTTGGTGATATTTTTTTGCAGGTTTGGCTTTGCTCTATTTAGCATTAAAAATTCAATAATAAAAACACATATTTCAAATAGAAATATTTATCCAATGCAAGAGGGGTGCCCTGAATTTGCCTGTAGTGACTGATATTGTGCCACCTGCTTTCTGGCAGCTGTTTTATGAATCTCATGCCAGCATACTGCCTTCTGCCACTGCCACAGAGAGCTATTTTAAGAAGATCTCTGGAGGCTGACATGTCACACACATGCAGTGGCTGAGGGCAGTATTAATGATGCTCATGTTACTGGTGTTCTCTGAGGTGAATGCTCATGTGAGGCTAGAAAGGCCAGAGATCAGACCAAATTATTCATTTACAGGAATTCCTTTGACAAATGTACAATAATACAACTGGCCATAATACAACTGTCCATATAGAATGTGATCAGTATTTACTGAACTGAGGAGCACTGACTCCACAGAACACCACCAACAAATAAAAGGCTCGGCATGCATTTAATGTATGATGTTATTCCAATTACAATAGTATCAAAAATATATATAAATAAATAAAATAATAAATAAAAAGCATTTTGTAATTTTTGTATTCCTTTACTGCTTTCTTTTCTGGCATATGAAGAGCTCGAAGAAGGAGGTAAAAGAATAAACAAACAAATAATTAAACACTACCACTACAACCAAACCAACCATGAGGATTTGAAAATTAACTAGTCTTTCAATGTACTAATTCAACACAATGTCCCCTTATTCATTTTAAACTGCCTGACATTGCTGACACTGTCTGTAGTAAGTTGTAACTAAATCAAATAAAAAGAATTAACGGAAAGCAGAAAATGATTTGCTTAACTAATTTTTGTCTGATTCAAGAATCTTTCAAATGTCAACCTTTTCATTTAACTCATCATAAGATCAACTAAAACCATATAATCATAGTAATCATATTCATGGTAGGAAATCTAACCAGAGCTACCCAGCATGTGCTGCCCCCTACAGCTTGAAGGGTGCCATGACCTCTGATGACCTTTTGAGTAGAATGCATCAAGCAGATTGTAATATTCCAGTATCTGGAGGCCTGAAGTTCTAAATTGTGTGGCTGCTGAAAAGGTCTTTGACATAATCTGTTGTTTTGATTCATTGTCTATGTTTTTGAGATGTTAGTTTGTGGATTTTATCTGTGCATAAGTTGTGAAATTTATTCTAGTTTATTTTCCTATCAAACACAAACTAGTTAGAGATGACTTTAGATCATTAGAATTGATGGCTTTGGCAAACAGGGAAAAGCAAAGTAATTTCTTGTGGGTATTTTATTTGGCATGTGGTATCCTGGTGTCTCATCATTTCATACCAGGTTCTCCCGCTATGTGCATCCTCTCAGCCACCTATCCCATTTTATACATTTCACACATAATTCTCTCTCTCTCTCTTTCTCACTTTAACCAATACATAATCTCCCATTTCTGAATGCTCCCTCCTCTGCAATGCATTAACTGTTGATAACCTTCCTTCCCCTGGTTGCTTGCTGCATGTATTATTAGCTGAAGAGGTAGTAGAGGTAGAGGTAGCCCCAGAGGCAGCTCCTGAACCGGAGCCTGAGCCTGAGCCTGAGCAAGAACCAGAGCCAGTGCCAGAACCAGAGCCAGAGCCAGAAACACAGCCAGAACCAGAGCCAGAGCCAGAACCAGAGGTGCATGAGGAAGGTATGTGGCATGAATATTCATTCATCCTTCCCATTTCCCCCAAAACAACTAAAAACAGGCAGTGCACCTCATCTGCTACTTAAAAATCAGTCACATTAATGTAGTTCCCCAGTAGTACCCTTCCCCCCAACCCAACAAAACTTTAACCACTACTGGCGGTACCTCCTCTTCGTTCAGGCCCACCATGAGACTGGTGTGGTACTATCAAATGTTGACAGAGTTTAGATCCACGCCATTTCAGTCCCTTGTGGTGCATTTGACATTTTTTTGCAGAATTGGACAATTTCCAGTATGAACAAGGAATATTTTCCAATTCAAATTCACTTGCAGACCAGGGAGTGAGCTGGAACGATCAAGCTCTGACAGACATGGTGCTCGTCAAACCTAAAATGCAGCTTTCTTTAGGGTGCATGCAGGAGGCCTGCAGTGTTGGGAAACAAATAGTAGCTTAGCCATCAAAACAGTGTAGCTTTTTCAGATATCAGATTTATTTATTTTTTTGCATCACAACAAAGTCGATAATTAAACACTTTCCACTTTCTTTCTTATCATGTCATTTTGGAAAGTCCCAGCCATTCTGACTGGTCTTGTAAATTCAGATTCAGTAAATGATTCACAGAAAAACGATGCACTGATCATTTTTTGCAATTATTTTTTTGCTAAGCATTTTGTAGCTATACTAAATACTGCTGGTCTTCCCCATTTTTTTTCTGTTCAAGGTTAATCCTATTACACTAATTAAGGTCCTTATTGTTTTGTGCAGTAGATTTATGGTAGATCTGATTTGATTGCAAAAATAAATCATATAATCGGATAAGATTTAATTTATGTTTAAAAATATATGCTGCCCTCTTAAATTGCTTCAGTGTACTTCCTTTTAGTAGGGTAGCCAACTTAGAGTAGCTTGACTGCAGATGAACTGTTGTATATCAGGACAGGAGTAGCTTGGCAAACAACAGTTTCAAAGTAGCTTCCCAACACTAGAGGCCTGGGCTGATGATAAATCACATTACAGCTCCTGCTCTTTCCAATTACAGTGCAGCAATGATTCTTATCAGATAGTCACTGAAAACTCTCTACATTTTTCGACATTCAAAACTGTCTCTGAGTTGCCGCCAGCATAATGCTACTCTAAGCTGCATCTTGAAGAAAAATCTATTCTATTGCATGTGTTATAATGATTATGCAACAAATGCAACTGCTTCAGTTGCTATGCTGTTTCATAATATTCATGGAATGAATATTAAATGTTCAATAAATGGTCAGTATATTCAAAATTATTTTCAAAGGGACAAAAAGGGCTATAATATGTTATAGTACCTTATTCTTTCTAATTTCCCTGGCTTAACACTGGAAAGGCTCTCTTTGGCACACTGAGCTATAGTTAAACATTAAATATTAAACTTAAATATTAGAGTTTAAATTATAACTAAAATTTTTACTCTAAAAAGCAAAATGCTGAAAGTGTCAAACAAGATGCCATCCATTATTAAGGTGTTTTTGTCCACTTTGAAATACCAGTCAATGTTTTATGTTAATATGTATGCAAATATAGATTGGTCGTCAATATAAATGTTGTTATTTAGCTTATGTTCATTTAATGACTTGCTCATTTTGAGGTGTCCCACTGAAATTCATTCATCTGAACATTTCTTTATTGGGATTTTTTGTTTAATTGATTTCTGTCAATGTATCCTGATACAAGTTGGCACCTCAATCTGAGTGTCTGCTTAGCTGAAGTCTGCATCTGAGCATGCAGCCCTGCTTAGGGCAGCAAAAAGCACACAAAGCAACATTAATGTTCTCTATTTTACTCTTGCTTTCAACGCTTCATGCATGCAGAGGCCTATGAAGAGGAAGGTATGTTTGTCATTTTCTTGTATTTGTCATTTCTGATTAGAAAGAAGGCATGGGGAGGGTTTAATGCCTGCAAGGATCAGTGAAATCAGTTCCAAAACCTTTCAACATAAGATTCTGAATGGGGAGACCCAGTGAACTGGCCTGAAGTGTCAGTTGAAACTGACACTGGCTTACCTTAAGTCAATAACAAGGGTGAAAGAATATGAAATGCTGACATTGCTCTGTGCTTTGCTTCTTTTTGCATGAATGTGACACACCAGTGGAAGAAGGAGGACAAGATGGTAGTTTTAATTCCCTTCTGGAAAATGTCTGGTCTGGATGTGGCTTTTTGCTTGTGTTTTTGGTGTGAAGGTCAAGCCAAATAGTTACGAAACATTGCAATGGACCTAACATCTCATCTAGGTCAGCAGAGTCTAGTCAGAGAAAGATATATAACAAACTCAGATTTAGATGCTGTTAGTCAAAAGAGATGGGAAAATGAATGAAGGATAAAAAGATTAATCTTTTTCCACAAGGATTTGTTGTTATGTTAATTCTTGGAAGAGTGAGAATGGTCCACTTGCCAGGAGTTCTGTGTCTGTTTATACTCATGTACTTATAAGCACCTCATGATCTGAATTCTTATGCAGTGATTATTCTATATTTGTTTTGATCACCTATTTGTTTCACAACTTTCTAACTAACCCATGCAGTTATTAACATTACTGAAACGATTGAAATTAATATGTGTAATTTACTTTGTAAACATACTTTCAGAAGTTACATACATCATTCTTAAAGCTCAGGTAATATAAACCAGCACAGAGTTGTTACTAAGAGTAACTCCATGTTCATGGATATGGCTAACAGAACTCCCACTGATTGTTGACTGAGCTCGTTTTAAACTCTCTAACCATGTTACATATCCCTCTCCCTTTTTTGTTTTTTCATAACAGAGGAGAAGCCCAAGTTCAAGTAAGTAGAAATGACCACTAAGCACTTGTTATAGCTGAGCAGCCAGTTTCAATGCTGCGATGCAATACAACATGCCCTGGGTTTTACTGAGGAGCTGGGGAAGATTGAGATACCCAGAACCCCACTAAAACACATTTTGCTTTCATTCCCTTCAGACCAAGTGCACCAAAGATACCTGATGGGGAAAAGGTGGACTTTGATGTAAGCAAGTACTTCACTTGTTACATTGTGTTGTAGTGTTACGTATTAAACATTGTAAGAATACATGTTTGAGGTCATATTTACGTGTGTGCAAACAGGACATCCAGAAGAAGCGCCAAAACAAGGACCTCGTTGAGCTGCAGGGCCTGATTGATGCCCACTTTGAGTGCAGGAAGAAGGAAGAGGAAGAGCTTATTGCCCTGAAAGACAGAATCGTGAATATCAGCCATCTGTACATTATCCCACTAAATAGAAGGATACTCAACAAAAAATAAATACGTGGACAAAATATTTTTGAAATTTTTTTTATAATCTTACCTGTATCTTAACTTAAAGCTTCTTTTAAGAAAAAACAATTGGTTACACTTTACTTGAAGGGGTGTGCATAAGACTGACATGACACCTACATAATCATGACATGACACATGTCATGAATATGAAGGTTTTTTATGCATGTTTATGACAACTGTCATTAAGTGTCATTCGCTCAGTTATGTAATTTTTAATGCAAAGATGA